GCAAGCGCTACAGATGCAATTCTGAAATAACCTTGATCATACGAAAACCGAATATGACCCTGGTATATATTTAGAGTAACGTTATCGGCACACCAACAACAAAGGACCGTCAAAGTACTCGGAAGTAAAGCAATATTTTTCTAAATCCTGAAATGAAACTTATCAGTACATGATTTATGTAGAAAAAAATCGAAATAAGACGAAAATTTAAGGTTTGTAATATCTGAGAAACACTCAGTTGATCAGCAACCGAACATTTCTGTTGTACGGGTTTCAGTAACGCGGGATGTACTAGTCTGATATGAAAGTCTTCCATGCTTGTTCCTGTGTGTCTGTATCGTTGTGTGACATTGGTTTTCACGGTACTGAGTTTCCATTTCAGCCTTTTCAGGAATGTTTTTTTTTTTTAAGTTGGACTTTCCAAGACCCATTATATAAACCTTTGAACAGTTTTTTCTTCTGATCACTGCTTTGTGATTGGTGTGTTTGGTTGGTTGGGTTCTTTGTCTCGACACATACGAAAATCGCGTGACATATAGTCATGTTCCTTGTCGAGAAATCGTCTCTAATTTTCTTGTCCCCCATTCGCTCCCTCATTTTCGCGCAAGCGCTACAGATGCAATTCTGAAATAACCTTAATCATACAAAACCCAATATGACCCCGGTATATATTTAGAGTAACGCTATCGGCCCGGAAGTAATCCTGAAATGAAACTTATCAGTTTCCACAATTTATGTAGAAAAAAATCTAAATAGGACGAAAATTTTAGGTTTTGTAATATTTGAGAAACACTCAGTTGATCAGCAATCGAACATTTCTGCTGTACGTGTTTCAGTAACGTGGGATGTGCTAGTCTGATATGAGAGTCTTCAGTGCAGTCTTCCGCGTTCGTGTGTGTCTGTATCGTTGTGTGACATTGGTTTTCACGGTACTGAGTTTCCATTTCAGCCTTTTCAGGAAGGGGTTTTCTTTAAGTTGGACTCTCTAAGACCCATTATATAAACCACTGAACATTTTCTTTCTTCTGATCACTGCTTGGTTGGTTGGTTGCTGGAAATGGGTTCTTTGTCTCGACACTGAGCAAAACCGCGTGACATAGTCATGTTCCTTGTCGTCCAATCACATGAACGGAAAGCTGATTCTTGGCGAGTCATCATTGGTCGAAGTGTTAGCAGCGTGCTGCTTTATTACTCACGTCGGACGTTCGGTGAAAGAAGGAGAGTTTAGCAGTCATGGTGAATCTTGGAGATGAGTTCCCCAACTTCAAAGTCGACACAAGTCAAGGGGAAATTCAGTTCCACGAGTATATAAAAGACTCGTAAGTACAACTTTTATTTATATCCGTACACAACTTTTGTGCAAACGTGTCCACACTAGTAAGCTCAAGATTGCACAATCAAACTTCCCTGACTGCTTCGGGGACTGCTCCCTCGTTAAAAGGTATTTTTCGAAGACTGTTGTGGCATTCGCTTGACGTTTTATAGTTGATTATAGGCTAGGCTAACACAGCGGCTCTGCGCTAAAATAATGTGGTGGCTCATATGCATTGAAGATTAAAACTGCCAGGGAAAATTAACATCCACTGACTTGATCAAATTATCACCTTATCACCACGTAATATGCCCGATTGACGAGCCTTACAAATGTTAAGCTCAATCCTGTAAAAGATTCCCGACGTGTGCAATATAAGCGTATATCTTATATTGACATTTGCGGCGCAAGTCGAAGCATTTTTAATTTAGTGCTATTAATAAATTATTTGGAATTATTTGGATTCTTATGTTACGATCACGTTCAAGGTAATCACAGAAGTTTTAAGTTTGTTTTAGTAGATGTTTAAGAAGATTTAAAATGTATTGTATTGTATATGGTCGTACATCGAGATCTAAATCGTCAACAAATTAACGTGTCCAATTTTATGGCCGATAAAACATAGAATTCAATATTTTATGGTCACTCAATTTGGGTCTTACTATAGACACACCCATATTTGTTAATGGATGAGTGACTGTCAGTTCATGTGAAATCTAACCGCTATGCATATTCATATTTAATGTACAGTCTTGGAAAAACATACAGTCAGAATAAAGGCATGGTCAAATGACCACAACATTTCAACCTCAACATATATATTACAAAACTTTTGGGAACAAAGTATTGTAGCATATGTTTGGCCATCCTGTTGCAAAATGTTGGATTGCAGTCACAAGCATCCCAAACTCACCATTCCAGAAATCGATTGAATATTAATTTAATGATTTATGTACACGTATCGAGTGCAACGTGACTATGTAAAGTACGTGGTGGTGTCTTACACTTAAGGCTGTTGATAATTTGAGCACTGTACAGGGAGTTCAAAATAATCAGGGATATATAAACATGTGCAAGGAAATAAAATATTACCTTCTTTTCAATAAACTAAAGAATTACTCTCACCTTGAACTGTTTGTAGCTGAGCCAGGGTATAGACGTTTTCTTAGGTAAAACTTTTCGAAAAAATTTTAAATGCTTCTTTGAGATACTTATTTTAATTATTTTATATTTACTTGGGTATTTTCAATCATTTTATTGTTTAATTAATGTTATTGTAATAAGTGTAGTTAGTCATTGTTCCGGAGAAGCCATTTTGGCAAGAAATATATCTCTAAACAAAAAAATTACCAGTGTCTTTCTTTTACCTTTTTTATCTTTCGAGAATTGCCCAAATAATGTGCCAATAACACAGAACAATGTGGTGTTTCGTAAAAAGACAAAATATGGCTTCATTCAGTGATAACTAATACATAACGGTTAACAGGTCTATGAAGGGATACTGCAGATCAGCTCAGTTCAGCCAGCAGTACTGAGTGCATGAGAATTAGAATTGAAGATTTGCTTTCTAAGAAATGAATTTCACGAAGATATGTCATCTTGAAATAGAAACTGTTTGCAAATTGAGGGGAGGCATCTTTCTGGGCAAGTGAAAATTACACTGTGTGAGTGGATTTTAAGAGTCGCTTGCGCGAATGGTGAGTGCTGACAAAATTTAATTTCCAACACTGTAACTCCAAAATGTAACCAACCTAGATCCTTACCTGAATTGGGTAACATTTAACTGATAATTTTTAATTATTGATAATTATTAATATTTCAATATATGTAGTGTAAACTTTGCTGCTCAATAAAATCACCAGTAACTGACCACCTTTTTTTTTAGTTGGGCAATCCTTTTTTCGCATCCTGCTGACTACACACCTGTGTGTACCACGGAGTTGGGACGTGTTGCCAACTTGCTTGAGGAATTTAAAAAACGAGGAGTGAAACTTATTGCCTTATCATGTGATGGAGTTGAATCTCACAAAGGATGGATCAAGGATATAATGTTTGAGAGCAACTATAATGGCGAATTCCCTTATCCAATAATTGCTGATGAGGGGCGGGATCTGGCTGTTAAACTTGGCATGATTGACCCTGACGAGAAGGATGCTCAAGGCCTTCCACTTACTGCTCGTGCTGTAAGTTTTACTCAATTTAGAATTAAGTCTCTTGTCCCTCCTGGGAAGTACTGAACAAGGTGTTGTATGGAGAGGCTNCCCCCCCCCATTCCTCAGGTCCATTCCCCTATATACACCATTTTTTAGGAGGAAACTAAGGTAACCCTTTCATTTACCCTTCCATATGAAATGTTAGCCCGTCCCTTTACCTACAGCACCACAATCCTGATCTAAACTTTTTGCCCAAGGAACAATTAAATAAAGTAATGAAACAACTATGAGGTGCATCTTTCCAAAAAAAATGTTTTTCAAAGACCCTTTTAACTACCTTATGTTCTTAATACCAAAAACTTTTTTCCTACCTTTTTCTATTACTTCTCATACTCATTAATAATCCATCAAGTTTAAACAAAGGAAATCATGATCGTGACTGTGTTTGGATATTTGATTTTAAATATTATTAACATAGATTTTTATGACTTTCTTTCTCTGTTTTCTCCGTAGTTTTAGTTTTGGTTGAGAAGATATATCAAACACTCTAGACAGTGTTTGACCACATTTCCAAACACCCTGAAGTTTCTCAAAAATACTCCACTTCATACTTCGTATTTTCAACTATCTTCTCAATGTTTGGAAATGTGGTCATCAAACACAGTCTTTACATTACCTTAAGAGCCTGAAAGGATACCTCTCTTGGGCCGTTACTGGACTCAAGGAACTTGAATCCAGGTTTTCTTAGTAATGTGTGGTTCCAGAAAATTTCCATACCCCCACCATGAAGGGAATTGGAAATTCCAGAGAGGTGGGGGGTCAAAGACCCAAGAAATTCTGGAGGGGAGGGGTTGGACAGTTGATTTAGTTTTCAGATGCCCTTTGATTCAATAGGGATTCAAGTATCTATCTAGCTGTTCAAAAATCCTTCGTTACCTACTAAGTAGATCTTTCACATGAAAAAACAGTAGCTTGAATACTTGTATTTGAATCACATAATATTTGAAATAAATTTTCTTTCTTCAAAAAGCACTTTGGAAGCTAACAACTGTGAAGCGTAGAAATGGCTGCCATTACTTGTTACCAGTCTACATGGAGTCACCTTGTGGACCGAAAAGCACTGGTGACCAGCCTAATTTGTTTCTGCATTGCTCTTCGAAGCTGTCGACTGGCAGTCAATTTCCTTCGTGAAAATTAGTTTGTTTATAAAGGTAGAAATGATGTTACGATTTCACGAACTTGAGAATTTCTTATTCTTGTTTATCTCTGTCTGTCTGTATGTAATTTTGCTGTAAAATTGGGCTTTGTCGCGAGTGTGTTAGCGATCGTTTTCATGATAAAAGTATGGTGTCACTTTCATCCACACTCATCTTATCAGTCCTTCAATGAAAATTTTACTGCATTTACAAATGGACTTAGTGTTATAGGAAGGTAACTTGGCAAGTTACTATTTTTATCTATTTTTCTCTTAAAGCATGTTCAAATAAATTGCCTTACGTTTTCTTTGTGTGTATCTTCAGATGTTACGATTGATCGAGAATAAACAGCAGTGACGTGCAAAAGTGTTTGGAGTATTAATTACTTAACTTTAACACACTTTCTTGCCAGAACTATTTTTTTCCAGAATGTATGGGGGGTGTACATAATACTTGTGGAAATTGCGGAGGGGGCGAGGGTTATTTTTGTGTTCAAAAAATGGAAATTCCAGGGAGGAGGGGGGCTTACGTGAAATTCCCTCCCTGGTGGGGGTATGAATATTTTCTGGAACTACACAATCTGAGTAATCAGTTGAATGAGAGTTTGCAAAGTTTTTAAATTTCTGCATTTTCTCATCATAATCATGTAGGTGTTCATTATTGGACCGGACAAGAGACTGAAGTTGTCTCTCCTTTACCCTGCTACCACGGGACGCAATTTTGAGTGAGTGCAGAAACTTGAGTGATAATATTATAAACAGAGTTGACTGCAAGTGTACATGTCTTGGTTTAAAACTGTTGCAAGTCTGAGCACACTGGTTTTTTTTTCTAATATTTTTGGTGACCTATTGCAACTTGCAGATAGTTGATTGCAAGTTCAGTCCAGTCATAGCAGTTATATTTTACTGTTCAGTCTTTGTGATGACTAATGCATGTATGCCAGCCTGTCAGTGAGACCATTTAATTGGTTGGTCAGCCTAAGTGTATTTCAAAACTTGTGCACTATTATATGTGATTTTGTGCCTGAGAGCTTCAAGTGTTACGTGTAAAAGGAATTTTTTCTTATCATTTGTTTTCTAATATCATGGGAAACAATTAACTTCTTGCTCTTCTCTGCAATTGTACTCAAGAATTCCTGCAAAGTATGCATGCCAAGAGCCTTGTTGGAAAAAAAAATGAAAGCATTACTTATAGTAATTAACTTTAAGTTTCTTTTATTTGTAGTGAAATTTTACGTGTGATAGACTCACTGCAGTTGACTGCCACAAAGAAAGTTGCCACTCCTGCAGATTGGAAAGTAAGTTGTGAAGGGCAGCAATCCTTGGACTTATACAGATTGATTGCTTACATAACAGTGTAGAGGTTAACATGTCCATAACAATCTTCTTGTATAGTGGATATTCATATAGAAGCAGATGCGAGAAAAGTAAACACGGACAACAGACCATCTTGCTTTCCTATCAAAACACTGCTAACTTTTTGGAAAATGACATTGATGTATGATTTTTAATTTTCTCTAGGCCGGCGGAGACTGTATGGTTCTTCCTACAGTCAAGCCAGAAGACGTGGCAAAGCTGTTTCCCAAGGGAGTGAAAACCAAAGATATGCCCTCAGGCAAAGGTTACATGCGCTACACTCCTCAGCCAGAGTGAGTCACTTGAGACAGGAGAAGGATGTGACCTCAAAAGCAAAGGATATGTATTACCAGTAATGCTAGTGTCAGTCAATAATTGCAGTAGAACTATATTTAAAGTGATATTTTTTATTGTGGTGTCACTGTCAAGAAAAAATGTACGCCAAGGGACAACTCTGCGTATATTTTGTGTTTTAATTAGCACTATGTAATGCAACAGGTGGAGGTAAATAAATCAATTTTCACACAACCTTTACTCTTGCTTCCTTGCTCTTATTGCTGGGTTCAGGTTTTACTTGGACGGTGGTCTCTACAGACCAATCAATTTCTCTCATATCTGATTACAAATCACAAATTACCAGGTACCTCAACTTTGCATGACTGTGTGGTAAGGTTAGTCATCTCAACTATAGTAAGGTTTATAAGTCTGCATTCAAGCCTAGGAGTCCATCAGCCTGGCACTTACCTCTGGTTTCCGTAGCCTGAAGAGACCAGGAGTATTCTCCCCACCCCCACCCACCCGAATGAGGTACTGGTCCATATCAGCAAAACTCCCAGCATTACATTCACCGGTACACTTTTATACACCTGGGTAAAGAGAGGCACTGTGAGAGTTAAGTGCTTTGCCCAAGAACACAACACAATGTCGCCAGCCAGGGCTCGAACCTGGACTGCTCAATCTGGAAGTCAGTGAACTAACCACAGGGCCTTCCTGATACACAACTTTGACAGTTCCTTACCAAACTGAATACAGATCCCGCGCCAGTTTGGGACGAACTTCAAAATAGTCTCCCCGCACAGAAAATGAACAGGTATAAAAGATACTTTGAACATGATTCACTGTGCCTCTTCCCTCTGCGGAGGCTCAAATGTTTTTTTTTTCTGGTGGGGAGAATCCGCTGAACGATATGCTTTTTATAACGAACGCGTTTCGAACCTCTAGAGTAGAGGATGACTGTGCACAATTTTTTTTTGCTCAGTACATCTCGAGAGAAAATGACAAGGGGAAAGTAAAGCTATTGAACATCGGGCGAANCCCCCCCCAACTTGGATGGGTAGTTGGATCATCACAGGGTTATTCCCCCCGCCCCCTTCGTCGGTAGTAATGTGTACAACTAGCGAGCGAAAAACATTAAGAGTGAAGTCTTGGGTCTTGATTCCAGAGCAACGACCTAAAGACAAATCACAGTAAATATTTCTTGCCGTCCTCTGCAAACTAGCGTGAAATGACCAGGTTCTGCGTAGTTTGGAGAACGTAAGCTACTTCGGCTAATTTTTCGTAATTAGTGAGCTCTATATATATTAAAGTGGCTCAAAACAGTTTCCAGCAGTTAGATTTTGATGGGTCATTTTTAAGGTTTTGAAAATTTAAGGTGGTTCTGAACTCTATGAAAAGAGTTTTTTTAAACTTTGCCAATACTTACGTCTCATCATGCTTATTAAAATTTGATATGAAAAATATTCACCGTACTGCTATTAAAGCTTTAATTAAGGGTGTTTTTAGCAGGTCATTCTGTTGCTATGGTAACATATTGTGTCACGAAAATGATAACAACGTGTTCACCAATGATGATTGGGCAGGTTTTTGATACCATGATTGTAGCGTCAAGTGATAAAGAGTGGTTGTAAACGACCAATCGAAATCTAAGTGCTGGAAACTGTTTTGAGCCACCTTAAGCCGCTGGGTTTCGGAGAGACTATAGAGGCTATACCATTTATTATGGGTTGACATGTGACTTGAATCGTGCACATTGCTAGGATCAACAATGTTGAAATCGTCTCGTATGAATAATCAGGCCTTAAGCTTGGTGAAAATATTTGAAAGCTGAAAGGCTTAAATATTTGGAACTTCTTCCTGTAAGGTCAGGCATTTTGGTTACAAGAAGGCGTAGTTTTCTTCGACCAATTCTTCGGGGCTTAATTGTAACAACACATCATGTATTTTTTGCTGGATTTCTTTTCAAGCTTTAGGAGAAATGTATTTTACACAATTTCCGGCAATATTCAAATGCTTTTCAATGACTACCACGAGAGAATAAGAAAATAGCGTAAGAAAGACCAGAAATGATAATTAAATTTTCACATGTCATTAGTATTCCGCTCATGTAGAACCAAGATATGAAGAAGTTAATGAATGTTTCTTGAGTCATCCTCTTTCAAACATAATGCCCGTATGGAAAAGCAAAAAAACATTCTTTACAATGATAATTTTTCCACTAACACCGATTTTGCAAACTTCGCATCAAACTACAGCCGTTTTCCTTTTCGGAAAAAATTGGGAAAAAACATTTGATCGCTAATTGTAATTAGATATGAATTGTTTTAAGTACAACAGAAATGCGCCATTTCCTGGCCTTTTTAATTATGATAGCAACGTACTGCTTAGCAAGATGATTAAGAAATTAATTATAACGAAATGAACCAGTTCTGAGGGCCATCTTTTTCTTGTACAAATAGAATTTCATAGCGCAATTCACCAGGAATTGGCTTTGCCACGCCCGTTAAAATGTTGTATCTTATTTTTTGTTATAGTGGTGGTTGCGCTTTAAGTTACACTTAGCTAACTCTCAGGCATGCCACTTACACTGAAAGAAACAAATATTTCAAATAAACCTTTTCAGAGAGCGCCTAAACCGCGTTATCTTTTGTCCAGGACGCCAGTTGCCATGTTCTATTATTAGCTAAAATTTATATTATCCAATGTGTCTTGAAGCTTTCACGCCGTTGAATTCAAAGTAAATTACTGCAGTTAACACTTATTCGCCGATGTGGAGGTAAATATCCACCACTTTCAGCGACACTGAGGTGGACAATTGTTTTAGTTTGCTGCGGGAATACTGGCTAGCGGACCAAAAAATTACCTTATTTCCGATAATATACCGACAAATGTTCGGAAATTGTGCTTGAAAAGCACTATCCACTTGTGTGGTATATGCTAATCCATGATATTTAGCTGCTTCTATTGTTCTGTATTTATTGTTTTCATCGTTAAGAACTTTTGTCGAACTGCTTTTTTTTAATTCTTTGCCAAAAAAACAAACAAACAAAAAGGGGGATGACAATTTCCACACCATTATTTTCATCGTATATTTCACTTTGGCAACTGATATACTCAACATAACAAATCCAGCACTGAAGCAGGTAACACCGTCAACATGGAGTTGAACGATACAGAGATGCAAGCCAACTCGTCCTCCAAGGACAGGTCAGTGTTTTATTGTCCAAAAGCACCAGACTTAACGTGGGATTTAAATGAAACCACTTTCCCTTGGATTTTAGTCGGCATGAAATCCTTTGCCTCTCCCGCGATCATTTTCTTGAACGCACTCGTGGTCCTAATTGTAAAGCGAGATAAACGATTCCAGAAAAACTCGTACATCCTGTTATCTAGCCTGGCTGTTGCAGATCTCCTAGTAGGAGTTGTAACTATACCTTTCTCCGGCAGTATTGATTTGTTACTTGCCCTACAAGTTTTATTAGAGCATGTCTGTGTTCTAGACCTTATCAATGTGTACTCGATGTACTGTATTTCCTGGTGTGCACTGTACCATTTGACCGCAATCGCCTGGGAGAGGTACGTGGCCATACGAAAGCCGATCGAGTACGTGATCATTGCGACTAAAAGCCGCATCTTAAAGGTTAAGATCACCGTCTGGCTGGCTGCAATCCTCTCAACGATTCCACCCCTTATAATGGAAATCGCCGGTGTCGATATCCGTTTCGTTGACATCTGGGTTACCGCCGCGAGCCTGGGTGGAGCGCTTTCTCTAATTGTGTTGGCATATTTCTACATCCAAGTGTACCTTGGAGTGCGAAAAAGCATGCTCAAGAAAATCAGCAAAGTAACAGTCCTGGTTCAAGCTAAGCAAGACAAGAAAGTGGCCAAGACAACTGGCTTGCTAACCCTCGTGCTGCTGTTGTCGTTCGTCCCAGGGATTGTTGTCAGTAGTTCAGTGGCCCTGCGTACAAGTACGAGTATCCGAGTGTCCGAGTTACTCATGCAAGTAAGCTCTCTTGTGAATCCGCTGCTGTACTGCTACAGAGATCTCCGCTTCAGGAAAGCCGCGCTAGAGCTGTTAAGAATGAAAAAGCCTCCCGCGGTGCATCCAGGCACTACTGGTGGCGTGTGTGCTGTCCAACGAAAGGATCCACGTTCGGGTTCCCAAGGAAAAACCTCAGCCGTGGTGAGACAGCGAAACCTGGGAACACCACGCCCATTGGAAAGGTCAGCATCCTGCGACCCACGTGACTTGGGTTACATTTACGCTCATCAAAGATCTGAAATGGCCCTGAAAAGATCCGCGTCAGATCCATCGCTTGTCCAGTTAAACAGGTTATTGCGTGATTCACAGACACAGCAGCACCCTAGCGTCGTGATAACAACTGCGACAGTCCATGATGGGAGACGCCCGCAACGACCCAAGGCGAGTGTTGCCGAATTGCCGAAAAATGCTGCAAACCTACAGTGCACGGAATAAGCTATCCACACTAGATCACGATCGAACTCGTGTATTGATGCCCCGACCTTCGCGAAAGGTGGCCGCCTTAATCACCAAAACGTGAAAGAGGAATTTTGTCTGCAGACTGGGGACGAAACCACTGTTATCAGGGGAAGAAATCGCCCTGAATCGACGACAACTTCAGGATTTACAACAAAGTTGTGAGGTGACTTCTTGAATTCGCTGTTCTTTGATCTGATGGCGGAGTAACAGAGCCTTTGTGATAAGTCCGACTGCACCGTAGACTACGGTTAAACTGTGTTTATTTCAAAAAGTTAATTTAAAGTTAGCGAGAAAAGATGTACGGATCATAATCAACTTATTATATATTCTCTGGATAACTTATTTCAGCTGAAAAGGCTGTGTAGATTGCATGTTGCGTGTAAAAAGTCGGGCTCCGTTGACGCAGCTATCCCAGCGTATCTTTTCACTTTGGTTTCTAAAATTGTTCTTAAGAAAGATTTTTTGTTGATTCAACAAATAACTCTCTGCATTCCTTAAAGAAACCCCATATAAATATACTGACCTCGATGTTTGGGAAACTCTTTCTGTTTGCACGACTTGTGTAAAAATTTCTGTTCGCATCTGAATTACTTTTAATTCAACTTCATTAAACTCGAAGGACCGCAATTCCAATTCAATCGCAATTCAAATGGGGCGGGAGAAAGAAATCTGTCTCTGTTTTTTTTCTGTACACATAGATTTAATTTTTTGGATTTAAACATTCACCACACGCAAATTCAAGAAAAATTAAAAAAAAGATATATAGATTTAAGTGAGCCTTGAATTGTTAAACATCAAATTTATCACACCTTGCATAATTTTAGGGTCACATCGAAAACTTGTTGATGAAAAATGAACAGTGTACCTAGAGCATTTTGATAACGTTAAGTAAGGTTAGGTTGTGATAACAGGACTTTCTATTACCATATGTTGTGAAAAAATTGCACTACAACAAAATATTGGTAAATTTTCTTTCTTTTTTTAAGCGGCTGGGTAGAATCGAAAGAGATGTTTAAATTGGAAGGCAAATTTTTGCCCGCTTGGCTAAAATAAGCGAGCGTACTGTACATATGTAAAAAATTAGAAATTTTATCTTTTTTTTAGTAGGGTAATTGAAAAAAGCACACTTACTTTGGGCGATATTCTCAACTACAAAAGCGAGACGTACAGATGTACTTTTCAAAACATGTTCATGGACATGAACGGTCGACGAAAAATTCTCCGCTCTCGTGCATCTGAAAATGTGGGAAATTGGAATGTTTGCTTTCTCGTCTTCGGGACCTAGGAACAGCAGGTCGATTGGTGGACCAAGTAAACCAAGGAGAAACAGAGCAAAACGAAAGTAAAAAAACCCTCTTCGTTCTTGTTTTAAAGGAAAGGGAGCTTTAGACGTAATGCATGGAAATAGAACAAAGAGACAAAATAAATAAATAAATAAATAAAATAAACGAATTTGTATTTCCTTACACCTGCTGTTAATCTGAGCGTGGAATTGAAAGTTTTTAACATGGCAAAGCACTTAAGAGGTTTTACTTTATTTTTTTTGCTTAGCTGTCTTTCAAGATTATCAAACATACGACTAACTAGGAAAACAAATGTGATTCAAATGTTATTACTGTAGGTGCGTTATAGATATCTGCCTAAACTGAACAATTTTCATCTTTTCTTTAATTTGAAAAAACGGTGATCTTTATCTTTTTTTTTTTTTTTTTATAAAATATTAAAATAAAAAAATTGAAGATTTAAAGAGCAGCAAAATGAGAAGCGACAATATTCCGTATTCAGTTTTTAATTAACGTTTTAAGTTAAGTTATAAATTAAGCGGAATGAAAATAAAATTCGTCGGATTTTGATGGATGCTCAAGTCTCCGTCAGTGTTTTAACGGCATTGGAACATGCATTGAAAGGAAAAGGCAATAATTATCCTTCAGATGTTACGAGATCGGCCCCAGTTCAAAGATAAATTTTGCAGAAATTGGTTTTTGAATTGAGTTTAGAAATTCTCCGCGCAGATGTTTCTGTAGAGAATAGTGCGGAGAATAGAACTGAAATATCAACACGGGTTGAAAATGGTCAGCTCCTTTTTTCTTTAAAATAACGTATGAAACAAAAAGGATTTGCTTTGCAGCAATACATGATTTCAAGCTAATGCAGTACAAATTTATACAGACCAAAAACAAACAAAGAAAGAAACTGGCCCCATGTTGTATATATTTTAATTGTTTTGTTTTGGGTTGGCCTCTTGATAAAGCTGTGTAAACTGCAAGAAAGTAAGATTTCGCTTTATGACAATATTGGTAGAAACGGTGAGTCACATCGTGAAATGTGTTATTTTGAAATCCATACGTTCGTGTAGACAGCTGGTGCTTCATAAGAAAGTGTTAATTTAAAATCGGTGTCTATGATTTAGCAAGAAATAAAAAGAAAAAAAGCAACCAAATTTATGATACGCGTGTCGTATTTCTGGATTTAAAAACCTTTGCCATGAATTTGCAAGAGTATTTTTAATTCGTGATTGCGATAGCTGGTTAGGAGTTGCAGTAGGTGACCAGATTATGCAAATGTTATGCAAATGAGCGGTCGGTCGCTCATCTGTAAAGTTCTGATGTTGATTTATTCTGTCACTGGGTAATTAACGTGTGATAGCGTAGTTGAGAGTGATCAGATCATGCAAATGAACGCAACTTCCTCGCTGAGACACCAGAACTCAAACACAGTGAAACCGAATTCCCCAGTCGGACACCAAGATTCTAACCGCAACCTTCAGCAGTTTAACCACTTCGTACACGGGTATTTTTCTCTTTTTAATCTTTCGACGGGTTTATTGTAAATTAGATATAAATATCGAAGAAATGTGTTGATATTCTGGTGCAAGGGAGAGCATTCTTGCGATCATTAATCAGCGTGGCTTACTTCGAAGCCGATTCGAAATTGCGAGCTCGATATAGTTTCTCAATTGAACGAGGCGAACACTAAACAACGAACCGTTGCAATAACAAAATTGGAGTTTAAGGTCTGAAATAATTTTTTTTCGAGCGAAAAATTCAGTAGTATTTTCCATTCGTTTCACAAAAAGTAGGTAAACATTATAGTTTTAGATTCAAGCAAATTTACAACCCTTAAGACGTATCACACTGTGTGGCATACTATCTGGACAAAGCTTGGCCGTCACGTTCCAAGGTCGTTTCTTGCTCACGTGCAAACAACACTTCGTGTCACATTTGGCCAATCATATGCTGCTTTCATGCACGTGCGTTGCCATAGCGATTCGCCCGGTTCATCCTTGCTATGTGTTTCAGCTCATTTTAGCCTGCCACAAAAACATTCTCTCCCTTTATACCCTTGCTGGGTCCTTGGTCGTATGTGACGCACTCGAGTATTTTATATTTTTTCCTTCACTAAGCCCCCGGCTTGTGTAGTTATATATTTATTGTCGGGTACGTTTCAAGCTTTGGTATTGTTCTCTTAGAATTGATCTGCTCTGAGTATCTTTATCGAGTTTCAAAGCACCCCTCTTTCCGAGTAACCATGTTTTTGCTACCCTTTAAGAGTTGTTGATCTATCCTACATATATGTGGTTATGTTTGATCTTTAATCATTGTTGTTATAGAGTCCGCATATCTGGACATTGTCACTTATCTGATGAATATTTCTTGACATATTACAAGCTTCGTCATATTAGCTCTGAGTATACTTCTAATAGACTACAAAGCACCCCATTTTACGAGTGGTTACTTATAATTGCTTCTTTTACTGTGATATCTATATATGGATAGGTTGGGTTTTAACAATAGTTATTGTTCATTCAGAGTCAATAACCGGGTTGTAAACTATGTAGATAATAGGTGTAATTGGACACTCCAATTATCTGATGTACACTTCCCTACATAATGTTACAAGCTTTTATAATCTTGTTATGTTAAAGACAGTCACAGATTTATTGAATTTCAATAAAACGCGGGTTCGGGATAAAGTGCTCCCATACAGGTCACCCATTCTGGGGTACAGAACCCCAGTGAAGGTTTATAACATGGTACCATAGCAACTAGATGAAAATCTTTTAGGATAAGGACCTCTTTCATTGGGGATCTTGACCCCTTGGAGGAGGTTGGGGGATTTTGACCCCCTGGCTGGAGGTGATTGTGACCTCTCCTTTAGCTCCTTAACTCGGATAGGATGGAGAGGGTTGGGAGATTATATCCCTCCTGGCAGAGAGGATTGTGACCTTTTTTTGTGCCATTCAGTGTTAGTTTTTAGTCTTAACCTGTGCAAGCATTTTTTCTGGAGCACTTCGTTCCCTACTCCCTTTATCCCACAAAGTTGCAACTGTGTCGTTTTTGCTTTTCTGGGGATGGGATTATTAAGGTAGATTCAAGCTGAAAAAAATTGTCAGTCAGTCAGTCAGCCAGTCAGTCAGACAGTCAGTCAGTCAGTCAGTCAGTCAGACAGTCAGTCAGTCACAGAGTCAGTCAGTCAGTCAGTCAGGTAAGTAAGTTAGTAAGCTAGTAAGTAAGTCAAGCCCTCTCCTGGAATCTCTCAGCTGGATCAAATGGTGATAAATTATGCAGAGACTGTTCATCTAAGGCCCCGACCACAACTACCCCGGAGGAATGTGAAACCGCAACAATCCCCGGTCATTTTACATTTGTGTTTGAGTAAAACTAGGTCAGGGAAATCACATGATTATCGTAACCGGTGGCGGATCCAGACCTTTAGCTAAGGGGCGGGGGGCGGTTTTTTTTCTTGTCCTGCCGGCTCTTCTTCCTTCTGCGATTTTCTTTTTCTTTTTCACCCTGGGACCCCGGGCCCCTCCCTTAGATCCGCTACTGGCAACGTCATCGTTTACGAAAAACTTCGTTTTCAAATGTTTTCCGTCCACNGAAAGGTCAGCATCCTGCGACCCACGTGACTTGGGTTACATTTACGCTCATCAAAGATCTGAAATGGCCCTGAAAAGATCCGCGTCAGATCCATCGCTTGTCCAGTTAAACAGGTTATTGCGTGATTCACAGACACAGCAGCACCCTAATGTCGTGATAATAACTGCGACAGTCCATGATGGAAGACGCCCGCAGCGACCCAAGGCGAGTGTTGCTGAATTGCCGAAAAATGCTGCAACCTACAATGCACGGAACAAGCTATCAACACTAGATCACGATCGAACTCGTGTATTGATGCCCCGACCTTCGCGAAAGGTGGCCGCCTTAATCACCAAAACGTGAAAGAGGAATTTTGTCTGCAGACTGGGGACGAAACCACTGTTATCAGGGGAAGAAATCGCCCTGAATCGACGACAACTTCAGGATTTACAACAAAGTTGTGAGGTGACTTCTTGAATTCGCTGTTCTTTGATCTGATGGCGGAGTAACAGAGCCTTTGTGATAAGTCCGACTGCACCGTAGACTACGGTTAAACTGTGTTTATTTCAAAAAGTTAATTTAAAGTTAGCGAGAAAAGATGTACGGATCATAATCAACTTATTATATATTCTCTGGATAACTTATTTCAGCTGAAAAGGCTGTGTAGATTGCATGTTGCGTGTAAAAAGTCGGGCTCCGTTGACGCAGCTATCCCAGCGTATCTTTTCACTTTGGTTTCTAAAATTGTTCTTAAGAAAGATTTTTTGTTGATTCAACAAATAACTCTCTGCATTCCTTAAAGAAACCCCATATAAATATACTGACCTCGATGTTTGGGAAACTCTTTCTGTTTGCACGACTTGTGTAAAAATTTCTGTTCGCATCTGAATTACTTTTAATTCAACTTCATTAAACTCGAAGGACCGCAATTCCAATTCAATCGCAATTCAAATGGGGCGGGAGAAAGAAATCTGTCTCTGTTTTTTTTTTTTCTGTACTCATAGATTTAATTTTTTGGATTTAAACATTCACCACACGCAAATTCAAGAAAAATTAAAAAAAAGATATATAGATTTAAGTGAGCCTTGAATTGTTAAACATCAAATTTATCACACCTTGCATAATTTTAGGGTCACATCGAAAACTTTTTGATGAAAAATGAACAGTGTACCTAGAGCATTTTGATAACGTTAAGTAAGGTTAGGTTGTGATAACAGGACTTTCTATTACCATATGTTGTGAAAAAATTGCACTACAACAAAATATTGGTAAATTTTCTTTCTTTTTTTAAGCGGCTGGGTAGAATCGAAAGAGATGTTTAAATTGGAAGGCAAATTTTTGCCCGCTTGGCTAAAATAAGCGAGCGTACTGTACATATGTAAAAAATTAGAAATTTTATCTTTTTTTTAGTAGGGTAATTGAAAAAAGCACACTTACTTTGGGCGATATTCTCAACTACAAAAGCGAGACGTACAGATGTACTTTTCAAAACATGTTCATGGACATGAACGGTCGACGAAAAATTCTCCGCTCTCGTGCATCTGAAAATGTGGGAAATTGGAATGTTTGCTTTCTCGTCTTCGGGACCTAGGAACAGCAGGTCGATTGGTAGACCAAGTAAACCAAGGAGAAACAGAGCAAAACGAAAGTAAAAAAACCCTCTTCGTTCTTGTTTTAAAGGAAAGGGAGCTTTAGACGTAATGCATGGAAATAGAACAAAGAGACAAAATAAATAAATAAATAAATAAATAAATAAAATAAACGAATTTGTATTTCCTTACACCTGCTGTTAATCTGAGCGTGGAATTGAAAGTTTTTAACATGGCAAAGCACTTAAGAGGTTTTACTTTATTTTTTTTGCTTAGCTGTCTTTCAAGATTATCAAACATACGACTAACTAGGAAAACAAATGTGATTCAAATGTTATTACTGTAGGTGCGTTATAGATATCTGCCTAAACTGAACAATTTTCATCTTTTCTTTAATTTGAAAAAACGGTGATCTTTATCTTTTTTTTTTTTTTTTTATAAAATATTAAAATAAAAAAATTGAAGATTTAAAGAGCAGCAAAATGAGAAGCGACAATATTCCGTATTCAGTTTTTAATTAACGTTTTAAGTTAAGTTATAAATTAAGCGGAATGAAAATAAAATTCGTCGGATTTTGATGGATGCTCAAGTCTCCGTCAGTGTTTTAACGGCATTGGAACATGCATTGAAAGGAAAAGGCAATAATTATCCTTCAGATGTTACGAGATCGGCCCCAGTTCAAAGATAAATTTTGCAGAAATTGGTTTTTGAATTGAGTTTAGAAATTCTCCGCGCAGATGTTTCTGTAGAGAATAGTGCGGAGAATAGAACTGAAATATCAACACGGGTTGAAAATGGTCAGCTCCTTTTTTCTTTAAAATAACGTATGAAACAAAAAGGATTTGCTTTGCAGCAATACATGATTTCAAGCTAATGCAGTACAAATTTATACAGACCAAAAACAAACAAAGAAAGAAACTGGCCCCATGTTGTATATATTTTAATTGTTTTGTTTTGGGTTGGCCTCTTGATAAAGCTGTGTAAACTGCAAGAAAGTAAGATTTCGCTTTATGACAATATTGGTAGAAACGGTGAGTCACATCGTGAAATGTGTTATTTTGAAATCCATACGTTCGTGTAGACAGCTGGTGCTTCATAAGAAAGTGTTAATTTAAAATCGGTGTCTATGATTTAGCAAGAAATAAAAAGAAAAAAAGCAACCAAATTTATGATACGCGTGTCGTATTTCTGGATTTAAAAACCTTTGCCATGAATTTGCAAGAGTATTTTTAATTCGTGATTGCGATAGCTGGTTAGGAGTTGCAGTAGGTGACCAGATTATGCAAATGTTATGCAAATGAGCGGTCGGTCGCTCATCTGTAAAGTTCTGATGTTGATTTATTCTGTCACTGGGTAATTAACGTGTGATAGCGTAGTTGAGAGTGATCAGATCATGCAAATGAACGCAACTTCCTCGCTGAGACACCAGAACTCAAACACAGTGAAACCGAATTCCCCAGTCGGACACCAAGATTCTAACCGCAACCTTCAGCAGTTTAACCACTTCGTACACGGGTATTTTTCTCTTTTTAATCTTTCGACGGGTTTATTGTAAATTAGATATAAATATCGAAGAAATGTGTTGATATTCTGGTGCAAGGGAGAGCATTCTTGCGATCATTAATCAGCGTGGCTTACTTCGAAGCCGATTCGAAATTGCGAGCTCGATATAGTTTCTCAATTGAACGAGGCGAACACTAAACAACGAACCGTTGCAATAACAAAATTGGAGTTTAAGGTCTGAAATAATTTTTTTTCGAGCGAAAAATTCAGTAGTATTTTCCATTCGTTTCACAAAAAGTAGGTAAACATTATAGTTTTAGATTCAAGCAAATTTACAACCCTTAAGACGTATCACACTGTGTGGCATACTATCTGGACAAAGCTTGGCCGTCACGTTCCAAGGTCGTTTCTTGCTCACGTGCAAACAACACTTCGTGTCACATTTGGCCAATCATATGCTGCTTTCATGCACGTGCGTTGCCATAGCGATTCGCCCGGTTCATCCTTGCTATGTGTTTCAGCTCATTTTAGCCTGCCACAAAAACATTCTCTCCCTTTATACCCTTGCTGGGTCCTTGGTCGTATGTGACGCACTCGAGTATTTTATATTTTTTCCTTCACTAAGCCCCCGGCTTGTGTAGTTATATATTTATTGTCGGGTACGTTTCAAGCTTTGGTATTGTTCTCTTAGAATTGATCTGCTCTGAGTATCTTTATCGAGTTTCAAAGCACCCCTCTTTCCGAGTAACCATGTTTTTGCTACCCTTTAAGAGTTGTTGATCTATCCTACATATATGTGGTTATGTTTGATCTTTAATCATTGTTGTTATAGAGTCCGCATATCTGGACATTGTCACTTATCTGATGAATATTTCTTGACATATTAGAAGCTTCGTCATATTAGCTCTGAGTATACTTCTAATAGGCTACAAAGCACCCCATTTTACGAGTGGTTACTTATAATTGCTTCTTTTACTGTGATATCTATATATGGATAGGTTGGGTTTTAACAATAGTTATTGTTCATTCAGAGTCAATAACCGGGTTGTAAACTATGTAGATAATAGGTGTAATTGGACACTCCAATTATCTGATGTACACTTCCCTACATAATGTTACAAGCTTTTATAATCTTGTTATGTTAAAGACAGTCACAGATTTATTGAATTTCAATAAAACGCGGGTTCGGGATAAAGTGCTCCCATACAGGTCACCCATTCTGGGGTACAGAACCCCAGTGAAGGTTTATAACATGGTACCATAGCAACTAGATGAAAATCTTTTAGGATAAGGACCTCTTTCATTGGGGATCTTGACCCCTTGGAGGAGGTTGGGGGATTTTGACCCCCTGGCTGGAGGTGATTGTGACCTCTCCTTTAGCTCCTTAACTCGGATAGGATGGAGAGGGTTGGGAGATTATATCCCTCCTGGCAGAGAGGATTGTGACCTTTTTTTGTGCCATTCAGTGTTAGTTTTTAGTCTTAACCTGTGCAAGCATTTTTTCTGGAGCACTTCGTTCCCTACTCCCTTTATCCCACAAAGTTGCAACTGTGTCGTTTTTGCTTTTCTGGGGATGGGATTATTAAGGTAGATTCAAGCTGAAAAAAATTGTCAGTCAGTCAGTCAGCCAGTCAGTCAGACAGTCAGTCAGTCAGTCAGTCAGTCAGACAGTCAGTCAGTCACAGAGTCAGTCAGTCAGTCAGTCAGGTAAGTAAGTTAGTAAGCTAGTAAGTAAGTCAAGCCCTCTCCTGGAATCTCTCAGCTGGATCAAATGGTGATAAATTATGCAGAGACTGTTCATCTAAGGCCCCGACCACAACTACCCCGGAGGAATGTGAAACCGCAACAATCCCCGGTCATTTTACATTTGTGTTTGAGTAAAACTAGGTCAGGGAAATCACATGATTATCGTAACCGGTGGCGGATCCAGACCTTTAGCTAAGGGGCGGGGGGCGGTTTTTTTTCTTGTCCTGCCGGCTCTTCTTCCTTCTGCGATTTTCTTTTTCTTTTTCACCCTGGGACCCCGGGCCCCTCCCTTAGATCCGCTACTGGCAACGTCATCGTTTACGAAAAACTTCGTTTTCAAATGTTTTCCGTCCACACTAAAACGCAAAGCCGGTGTTTTCAAATTCCTCCGGTTTGAAGAGCGTTTTCGAAGGCTCCGTTTTCGTGACGGATTAGTGTGAACGGAAGGCCTAACCCTAGAAATAAAGCTCTGTTTTCAAACTACTCCGGCGTAGTAGGGACGGGACCTAAACAAATCGCCATTGTAATTTTTATAGGCATATGATATCAGCGTGAGTTTGGAATTAAGTTGTCAATTTATAAATTTGGCGCTGTATGCGCTAGGAAACCTTAGCCTCCTAGTCATTTTTCTAGACAAAGGGTTTTTTCAGCAATGCGAAGCAAAAGTTTTGTAACGTATTTTGTTTTTCAAATTTGGAGTCATTTTTCAACCAGTCTATTCCGAGGTTATGTCATAGTTTGGATAGCCGACTTAACATGAAATAGATTCCATGTTGCGCACCGTGCGTCCGTTCAATAATTGATCAAAGATGACATCAAAATATGGTAAGAACAAAAAGGTGGCACACGAGCCGTTAAGCGAGTGTTTCACTGCACGACAACAACAAAAAAATGTTAATAATGTCTTCTATACGTCTGTCCTTCAGTAGATTATAAGTAAGAACTAATCAAAATGCGAGAATAATTCGACTTGATTTAACTTGACTTGACACGTGATTTGTACCAAGAGAAGATGAAGGTAAGAGAGTTCCTCCCATGCAGGCCTCATTCCCAAGGTAATCCACTTAGAGTTATTTTTAGACATGGTACCGAGTTTTTCCGCGGATATGGCGTAGATGTTATCGAGGAGAATGGAAATGAACATGCTCGTGAAGCCGCTAAGGCTGTCTAGATGCGTACAGTTTGCGTCACAGGCCATTTCTAGAACTTCCTCGCGCTTCCGAAACCAGGAGTTGATCTAAACATGACTTAAAAGAGGTTACCCTAGGAATAAAGCTTATTTTCCCGTATCATCATTCCCCAATCTCTGGTTTTATTTTTTTTCTCGCTTTTCACTCTCCTTGATCATGGAATGTGTAACGCATGTACTGCTTACTTGGGGGCATTTCTCTGACGATCACTCCGACACAGTTGAGCGAGTTCTTCGTCCCTGATTGTGAGCGTGCCGGGAGCACTGATGGCGCAGTGGGAGAGCGCCTGCCTCCCACCAATTTGAGTTTGTCGTTGGTTCTCGCCTTGCTCCGAGGGTTTTTCTACGGGTACTCCGGTTTTCCTCCTCCTTTCAAAAAATCTATACGAAATTTACATTAATATAACAGTCTTCCTAATTATATGATGTACAAAGCTTATCATGTAGTTTTGGCACAGGTCGGAGACATATAAGGCACTAAATCTTGGCCTGTCATCTTAATTGAAGAAATCCAATGTCAATCGCAAATTTTTAAACTTTTTAAAATTGCTTGCGACAATAACGTGCAGTGTGTGGTAAAGCTGAATTGTAGTGGAGCGAAAAGAAAAGTAGACATTATGCAGTGCCAGAAGTAGTTTATTCATTTTTTTTCTCCTGTGAATTACATGGTGCTAATTTAAGCATTAATTAAGGGATCTTTTGTAATTAATTCACAAAATCAATGCGTTACTAACATAAAGCAAGAGATTGATTATCTTGAGTGTACAGCAGTCAACATTCAAATTGAAATGCCCTCTATTCAGTTCAATGTTTTTGTCCTCCGCAGGCTTCAGCTTGTGGGGGAGGATCATGAGGAGTGTAGCGCATGTATCCTTTCCCTGAGGGCATTTCTCTGACCTTCACTCCCTTAGGAAACAGTTCTTTGAGTTCTTCGTCCTTGATCGTGGGCAGAACCATGCAGTCCTTACCAGGCTAGGGGAGATCATTGCACAGATTGATTAGTGGAATAGTGATAAGACAAGTCTCTTGAATTCCTTGAATGACGTCAGTAAAAGCGGAGAATATCAAGATGAAAGGAATAGGGAGGGGAACGGGTCCCCAGGGGGGTTGTGGGGGGGGGGNGCGATCCTTTTAGTTAATTAGGAGGCTCTCAATGGGGTGGTGGTTTTACGGCTAACGGTGTAGACATATATTTTGGCCCTTTTTAGAGCTAATAGTTAATTTATTTTCCTAACGGTTAACAGAAGCTCTTAGAAATTAATTGTCATTGTTTCAGAAAGTTAAAAATTAATTTTCACTTTTTAAAAAAGTACAGTAACAATTAATTTTGTTGACTTTAAAACATATTTAAGGTCTTAGGACCATTCCGGGATGGAAAAAGATATCATTACACTATTGTTTGTACTACCAAGCCACAAAACAAGACACACACACACAAAAAAAACTTGACAAGAGATCTTGATACTTTCAGTTTCGCGGCTAAATTTCTTTCGGTTAACATTTTTTACTGCTAACGGTTAAAATTTTCCAATTTTTATGCCTAACGGCTCAATTTTTGGCCTGTGTTACGGCTAACACTTAACCCCATTGAAACTCTCAATTAGCACCAAGTAATCCAGACCTATGGCTGAAATCGAAAGGCATTCTCCCTACGCATGTTCAGAAACTGTTTGTGAATTTGAACGCAGGCGCACAATTTTACTGGAATCAGGATTTTTTGGTGTTTATTCTTGATGTGTATAAATGAATGAATGAATAGATGAATGAATGAATGAATGAATTTATTTATTAACGTGTCTAAAAGGTATTTGCTATGTCATGCTTACCTCCCAGTCGGCCGGGGTGGCAACTTTCTTTGTAGCAGTCAACTGCAATGAATCTATTACACGCAAAAGCTCACTGGAAGAAAAAAAAATTACAAACAAAAACAAGCTATAAATTTACATTTCATCACTTATAAAGTACATGACATGAAAACTTCATAACTTTAAATGGAAACGAATGGACACATTTTAAAATCAAAACTTCTTGTTTTATGGTTATGACACCTGCATTATATTTGGTTGGTTTGACAACACAAACAGTTGAACTTACTGCAAATTACGTCCACATGTTGCTGGGTAAAGGAACGACAATTTAAGCTTCTTGTCTGGTCCAATGATGAACACCTTAAGTGAAAAGAAGAGAACGAAATTAACTTGACATAACTCAAAAGAAAAGTTGACAACATAAAATTTCCATCGTATCGGAATGGAAGGGCTGGGTTGGGGGTGTGGGTAGGGTGAACAATATATCTAGCGGGTGGGCTGGTGGGTGTGGTAGCAGTCGTACTCTAGCGTATATTCAAGACAACCGCCATGATGGTTTTCGTATTATAATGCAAATTAGCCACGTTGTCCGCCAGGGGCCAAACATTGAAATGGTTCCCATGTTTCTGAAAATCGGCTCGCCTAAATGGTCAAGTATCTGCACCAAAATCACGTTTGGGAGCCAAGTTATGGAATAATGATTTTATTATTAATTTAAGTTTGAAAACGTCTCTTCATACGGCTTGACTTATTAAGTACGCGAGCCGTTTTCTTTTTGTAAAAGTGCCGAAATTCTGTAAAACTTGGAATATTTTCACCCCAATACTGAAATCAAAGCATGGATATGAGCAAAAATTAACAGACATGACAAGAAACCAGCTGAAATTTGCCGATTTTAGCTTGTTTTACCCCCTCAGAAATCACGTGCCTGAATTGCATTATAATGTAAAAACAAACATGGCTGTTATCGTGAATATGGCCTATTTCAAATGCATCCTCTGAGGCCGAGCGGCAGTAATGTGGGGCGGAATGAAGTAAACGCTGCAAGACTTGAAGCTAGAAAGGATTTTTTCTGCCAATGCATTAGCCAGCATTGACGGAGCTGTTTGGAAATGATCTGAATTGGTGAAAAGACTCAGTTCGCGGGGGCTCTTTCCGCCGTCCTTGCAAACTTTCGTCGCTTCAGGTCCTCCAATTTCTAACTTCGTCCCTCCCTACCTAACTCCTCCTGGGTCTCAGAGTATGCCTCAAACGATGAAAACACTCGACTTTCGCAGAGGCTCCTTGCCTTTAATTAACTAAAGCTTGAAGAGTAAAGGACGTTCTCCTCGAAAGGGGGTAAAATAAACTTAATACTTTAAGCTACATATTTCTAGGAAGGTGAAAAACTCACAGCACGACAGGTCAGAGGCATGCCTTGGGAATCCTTTTCTTCAGGATCAATCATGCCAAGTCTGACAGCAAGTTCCCGCCCTTTATCAGCTATTATCGGATAAGGGAAGTCCAATATGTCAGTCTTGATAAAGGCCTTGATATCTTCCATCCATCCCTTGTGGGTCTCAACATCGTCACACGATAAGGCAATGAGTTTCACACCGCGCTTTTGAAATTCTGGAATCAGTCCAACCAGGCATCCCAGCTCCGTGGTACAAACAGGAGTGTAGTCAGCAGGGTGGGCAAAGAGGATGGCCCAGCTTAATAGGAATTAATAACACAAGCATAACTATTATTATCCAAGTCGTATTCCGCAGTCGTAGTAAATATAAATTAAATGTTTATCTATGGCAGATCCTACGTACACAGCAGCATTTTCGTTTGTGGTCCTTTTCGACATTTGCGTTCAATGACTACGCGTGACGGTGATGTTAATAATTATTGATGACGATGATGATAAAGACGACGACGAAGATAATGACGACGACGATGACGATGCGTAAATTTTTGAAAATTCAGAAAATAAGATCTGCCATGTATTTTTCTGCGGGACAGTTTTTGTCTGCCCGCAGTCTCCTTATCGCGACAACGACATGCATGACATTCTGGATTTTGCTTATTGTTCGGAGTCATGCGTTTTGCATGTGACATTGGTCATTCCGCAAAAATTTGGATTTAAGTTTCATCTGAGGTCATTACCATGTGCAATTAGCAGATGATCCGTCAACCAGCCGGTTGCTTTACTTCTTACTGCTACACCGTGCTGACAAGACCCAACCAGGTCGTAACAGCTGTCAACGGTTGCAATTCTTAGCTTTCAGTTTGGACTCTATCATGTCGTTGTCTCGTTAAGCTTTCTACGTAGTAATCAGCCTTGCTTCATTGTTATATTTTTTGAAAAGGATCTTTTGTGGTTTTATATGCAGAGAAGGAGAAAACGGTTCATACTGGAAACAAAGTTGCATTCCAAAAATGATGGAGTTTATGTTGAGAAAAGATTTTGTATCTTGTTAGATAAAAAGGCCTGAATATAGTGATATGAAAACAGAACAAACTTTGCGGTCTTCCAATGAAAATTCACAACACTATTACCACATGAAACAATTGGATATTTATAGTCACAAGAAATCAGTATTTTGTTTTATTATACGGCTAGCTCTGTGAGCGGGCAAGATAACCAAATCGCTCTGCCGAGGCGCAATCTTTCCCGCTCGGGACAACCCGTTGTGACTCACAAGAAAAATTTCCCCAAAAGCCATATAATAAATCCTTTATTGACCAAGTTTGTTCAGTCAAGATGGCTCGATATTGGCCTCGTTCTCTTTTTGCGTGTTTATGGACTTTGGCTCCTTCTCGGTCCATAAACGCGCAGAAAAAAGAACTTGGCCAATATCGAGCCATCTTGACCTCACGCTTGGTCAATAACCTATATATATAGTTCTTTACGATCTAAACAAGGAGTACGCCCCCTGTCCATATTGAGAAACTATGATCGTCAATAACTTGAAGAGCTCTTTGCGTCTGAGATTTAGAGGATTTAGTTTAATATGAGGAGTTTATTGTCGGAAATTTTCTCGGCCATCGCGGTTTGATTATAGATCTTATTTATGATCTATTAGAGTACAGACTATATATGACGTCATTAGCATTTGTCTGTTTCTTTACTTCATAAAACAGATAGAATCATGGTGCCGTTCGTCTGTTCAGTAAATTGATCATTGAAGATGGCAAGGACATCAGTGTCACATTAGCCTAACTGTTCGCGCGCTACGTACACGTTTTGCTCTTACCACACTTTGACGTCAGCTGTGATCAATAAAGCAATTAGATTATGAGCTCGAGATTAATATCGCACGATAGTTGACGAGGGCGCAACCCGAATAAACTATCATGCATAGAAATCGAGAGCGAATGATCTAATTATTTTAGTATAGACCTACTAGTCGTTCAAAACTTTATCTAAATCCTCTTCACAAACACTTCGAGAACGCAAAGAAGGCCTTTTTGTTAACAAGCACACGCTGCCAGGCTACTCACTATCTACAACAGAATAGATAACGAGTAGGGTAGCCAATGAGAGAACGCCATTCGTGATAGAACGCTGGTAGATTTATACTAATACTGGACAGACGCACGCTCTATTTGATGTCACGTCACCATAGTCAATAGAGTGGAATGGCTGTGAAGCCGGACAAAGTTCAGTATTGTTTGTTTTTGTTCGGGTTTTTGGCCTTGACCGTGCACAAAACACAACAGAAACTTACTTTTGTCCAAGAGACTAACCAATAGAACCGTTTCGCTAACTTACGCAACTCATGCATGGTGTATGAATGAGTGCAAAACAAAACAGTTTGCACTGTCATGGACCTCCGAGCATAAAACATCTAAAATATAGAATGTTTTTTTGCTTCTTTAAAAGGGCTTTGTCACATTCACGTCATGATCTTGATTGTTCTCAATATTTGCTTTTAGTAACTATGCCTATATTAATATTGCCATAAGCGTTGTCTCATTGTTTTCTGAAAAAAGAGGACAAACAAATATCTTGCAAAATACCCGCAGGCCTATTTTCGGGTTGAACGTTAAAGTACTCTTTGCCATAATCTCTTCGATCAGATTTCAATCCACTTGAATACTCCACGACTTCATTGTGCCTGGCCAATTTGACAATAGTAGTTGAAAGAAATTTGAGACCTGTGTATGAATTAAAACTAGGTGTAGTCTGCATAACGGACACGCACTCGAGTAACAACAGCAGCTTGAGTTCGAGCGGTGCAACTCTCCCGGCGAACTGATAAGAGCTCTTTCCTTTTCTTCTCGTGCATGTCTGACCACGCACTCCAACCCAACCCCTGTTATTTACTCGAACATGCTTAAAATGTGTACATATACAAGCTGCACTTTAACTGATTGATTATTCCAAATTTACACTTGATTAGGCAAAGAATTTACCTGTAATTTGCATGTTAGAGGTGAACGAGTTCGGCTGAAAACAAGCCTTATATGAGTTTATATTATGTAAAGAGGCACAGGAGAACCTTCCTAACAGATGATCTTTCCTCAGTTTTAACTGAACCCGTCCATCGCTTATCTACTTGCTCGAAGTCCTCTTTGCTTTAAACTATGCAAGCAATGCCAAAGATGTCGTTTCTAATATTTTTCGTCGTCGGTGCTTATTCGCCAAATACTTTTACCCTTCGATGATCTTCATTTGCACTGCGGCCACAACGACATAATTGGTAATGCTATTCAATCGAAATGATCCGCCCTGTGTTGTTGCTCTTGGTTCCAAAAATTGTTCTAGGGAGGTGTTCTGCTTAACAGTTAGATCATCGGCATGGGTTTTTTTATCGTGTGAGTGAGCTTGTTGTTGTTATTGTTGACGAGGGCGCAGCACGATTCAACTATCACGCATTGAAATCGATAGTGAATAATTTTATTGTCTAGTATAAATCTACCAGTCGTTCAAAACTTAAACTAAATCCTCTTCAGAGATACTTAGAAAACGCAATGAAACGGAAACCATTTGGTTAACAACCGCACGCAGTTGGGCTACTCACTGTCTACAACAGAATAGGTAGTGAGTAGAGTAGCCAATAAGAGAACGGCATTCGCGAGAGAACGCGAGTAGATTTATTCTAGAAAGCGAGGGTTGATGAGGCTGAGCACGTCTAGGGTAGCAAGAGACACAGTATTAATTTAGCGTAATCCAAATAAATTAGTTTTTAATTTTCTTTGGTCATGTGTGACTCTCCGTATGCAAACGTTTTCACTGACAAATCAGCTTGCCTAGATTCACAGACTCCATAGCTCAAATAGATACAATTTTGTTCAAAAAGTCTACTTACGACCCCTCTATGAACTGGTGGAAGTCCAGCTCTCCCTCGCTAGTGCGGACATGGAAGTCGGGAAAGATTTCTCCTAGGTTCACCATCTTCGTTTTGGCTTAGCTGTACGTGCTTCGTACTTGACCTCAGCTTAGACCCGTAGACGAATGTGATAGATAGTGCTCGTTGCACTGTTTTAAGGAGTGCTTTAATGAGATGTCATTGTTTTGGACACTTGCATGACATTAATCAGCGTGCAGACTTCTACTCATTGTTTCCTTTGTTTCAGACAAGGAAAAATTGTCCGCACGCAATTGACACAATGACAATTGACACAATGACAATTGCATTATCATACAGTTCAAAGGACGATAAACATCACGAAAGGTTAACCCCCTGGGGGAAGGGATAAAACCAAAATTTATGTTGGAGGCTTGCGGGACATTTCTTGAAAACGTAACTCCATTTCAGACCAAAATATGTGATTTTTGATAGCAAAATAGCTATATCAGACCGGACTCTAAATCGATACTCTTTTTCAGACCTTTAAAATTAGTTCACGTATTTAATATCTACTTGAACTCAGTTAATGGCTTCCGTTTGCGTAAAAGTTTCAACCATGCGCCGCACATACTTATATAGCTTCATAAGTAATGTATGGAGTATAGAGCTAGTGGAATGTGCAAATCATTTTGATGCAATAACTGTTCAGAAAAATAATGGCTGTCCCTTTAGATTATGCTTGCCCGAGACATGGGCCATTACTCACCGCGTGGTGCTCCTAACTCCAAATGACCACTGGTGCAAAACAGTTTACACAAATGTATAGGAACTGGTTTGGTTTGCATAACAATGGAAATGTGTATTGGAACGGTAGAAAAATCTGCCAATCAACCTTTACTCTGCAGATTGAAAAGCATGCTTGAAGCATGTTTAGTTGGATTTTCGATATACTGCTTTTCTTTGTTTTCTTCCATTTGTAGCTGTCCGGCCCGTCCCGGCCCTGCTTTCATTCATTACGTGCTCAAATTATCAACGGCTTTTTGACTTGCACTCAACTTATGCTCTCCCGCTCACGTAATCTGCTTAAGTAGCTTTAAGTCAATAAATTTGCTTTGCTGAAACATGCTTTAGAAACTCATGTTCAAGCTCTTCCGAGTCACGAACATACAAAATCAACAAGATTTGTCGCCATGCTTACCACAGAGATTGTGTTGTGCAAATACGCATGCCAGTGTAAAATATAAATTAAAATGAAAGGGTAAGTGTCGATTTTTGATCTGGAAGTCCACTTTTTAAAGTTGACGTTGGCGAGGATAATCCCTCTTAATAGATCTTGTAAAGCCTCGGCCAAACGATAGGAACATGTCAACGCAACATATCACAACATTGTTGGGCGCAGCATGTTGCGCGCGTTTGGCCACCCTGTTGCGACATGTTGCGACATGTTGGGTGTTGTTGGCTCAAATTTGAAACTGGTCAAACTTTTCATGCAACATTTGTGGATGTTGCATGATGTTGTAGTCGTCTGGCCAGGTTCGGGCAACAATGGTGCGCCAGGGCATGCGCACTAGCTCGATTTTCAATACCCAACATGTCGCAACAGGGTGGCCAAACGTACGCAACATGTTGCGCCCAACAATGTTGCGATATGTTGCGTTCAAATGTTGGGATCGTTTGGCCGGAGCTTGCAAATGCTGGACCAACAATGTTGGGATATGTTGTTCTGAAATGTTGCGATCGTTTGGCCGGGGCTTAAGAACTGTCAAAGTTGTGGAAAAGGTATTCAGGAAATTATTTGTCATTTCTGGAGGGTTCTTATCATGTATTTTGTACTTTTGTTGGCCAGAATCGCGGCCAGAAAGCGGCAACTGAGGAGTTCATTTCACAGGGCAGAAGAAAGGAAACTGTCCCACACATTCCTAACCTCGATTGCAAACAGACTGAGATCTGGGCATGAGATTAAAACCTTCCCTCCCTCTACCCGTTAGATTTGAGATAATTTATCTAATTATTTTTCACTCGTCTCCCCGATGTGTTGAATTTATTTCTGGAGTAGGCTCGATTACCGGCCGCTGTTCGGGAAAGGAGCCCGCGCTCCTCCCCCGAATAGACCGGACTCGAGAAAGCGGCGGAAATCGAGCCTACTTCTGGAGTCACCCTCAAAGATTTAAAATTTTGCGTTAGGAAACTGCATTCCAGGTCGGTTTTCGAAACCTTTGTTTTGCTAATAAAGAAGCCATAAATACTCGACCTATAGAAAGGGACGGCCTTGTGTGCAGACACGCACGAAGAGGACTAAGTATAGAAAGGGAAAGGAGTTGCATTTACTAATGTACTCACGGCGGACCTATAAAAAATGACAATAATAAAGAAATTAAAATAAAAACAGTCCATTGTGAGTCCTTGGAAACTTGTTATCATTGTGGCGAGATCAAAGAGACGAAACCTCTTTTCTTAGCTATTTAAATCCCTTTATTAATTATGATTTTCCCCTTTTTTAAACTACAATATGTCATGTCAGGCATGTTACACTTTGACTTTGAATGCAACATAAGATGATCCTTCATCATCCTGTGAGGAAGACAGAAAAGAAGAAACGTACATTACTTTAGTTGTCACAGTTCAAGTGTCAGAACAGCTCGAGCTCCAGCGTAAAGCTACGCTAAGCTACTCTTTAGTAGCTATAACAGCTTCGTTTTTTACCTTAGTTAGTTTACTCTAAGTTCATTGTGTCGATTGCCTCAGAAATTCGACCAGTCCTTGATGTCCCTGAAAATGGCAGCGAACACATGACGTCAGTTCTAGGACTGTTCATATGAGGTAAATTGACAGTTGTAAAGATATGCATCTGTAAAACTGGCTGGGTTCCTTCTTTAACTCTCTTAATATTTCAGGCAGCCAGCGCTCGCTCTCTTTCTCAAGTAGTATACATATCAATAAAATAGGACCTAGCGGGAAAAATAGTATTTGTTGTTATTGTTACAAATATCAAGTTTAGATAGGTAACGATGTTTGAGAACGCCAGCCTCAGAACTAATGGAATATTAACTATTGTTGTTGCAGCTTTCCTTCCCATTCCTAGTTCCATACAAAAATTAAATATTTAAAACCAATCTCTGCTTTTGTGCTACGTGAACAGACTCACTCACTTTTCTTAAGACATGGTCTTGTTTCCTTCAGTTCTCCTTCGCAATCTTTTCCATTTCCGTGGGGAGGAGGGTTAGAACAGGTTCTGGTTCTTTCCTGCATTCCATCTTTACAGTCAGACCAATCACTCCAGTCAGAAAACCCTCCATCAACACCTGATGAATGTTAATTATAAGCCATGGGGTAAATAATAAGTTAAAAAGGAGTTACCCTCTCTTAACGGCAACCCTGGCTGCAGGAGAGGTGTTGCACCTCTAGTAGAGAGGGATGGAGGGATGCCGGTCTACTGCAGATTATTGTAAAGCAATTTTCTGCCTACCCTTTTTCACGCCTTAATAGAGAGAGGTCCTGAAAAGACTTAAATACCTTGCCGATTTGTTCGATGACATATTAACTGGATCGACTAGGTGGTAACAACGGAACAACGAGACCGGGATTTGTATGTGAAAAACCTAAACTCAAGATAAAGCCTTTTTAAAGGAGCTCAGTCACGGTTTGTGCATATTGAAAAGTTTAGCCTCAATTTTTCAAATTCGTCGTTTGTAATCCGTGTCAATCTTCTCCATCCTTACCCATCCTTGTTCCTGTATAGTTTATCATTGTCTCTTTGGTGTTTTTCTATCTTATTAAACTGTTATTTTCAGGTTTCCTACCATTTAAAGGTAATTTTGTATGTGGCCAAAATAACTCAAAATACCGTGACTGAGCCCCTTTAAAAGCCTGATTTACAGTCGAACCTGCTGCAAGTGGACATCCTCGGGACCAGAAAAAGTGCCTGCTTGAGGACGCTCGCGCGAAAATGTTTCAGTCGATAGCTTTTTTAAAATTGTTACTGCAGTTAGATAATGAATTACTTGTGGTCACCGACTTCGTTTCAGAGATAAAGCGGGTGGGAAACTACCCAGATTTTGAAAAATTGGCTCCCGTAATTCAACATGGTTTACAGGGGTTTATAGTTAAAAATATCGAAGGTGAGACAACAGAGGCAAACGATTTTAGTCATATTTTGTAGAAGTGGTTCTGTTGCGTAAAGAAAATTCCAAATTTTGCCAGCGTTTTTACAAAACTTAACCCTTCAAGAGGCATTTGAAACCGTCGCACAGATAAACGCAGAGTTAAAAAGAAAGGAGTTCGATGGTGCATTTTGTAAAAAAAAATCAAACTTCGAAACGATAGATTTTCTTCATTTTTATCGCTAAACGTAGAAAATCGGTGGAGAAAATAATCCATCAAAAGAGCAATAGGGGTCACCGAACGACCAAGATCGTTAAATCCAAGTAAAGCTATCAATGGCGTTCTGCCCTATAGCGCGCGCTCGATGCATGACGTGACTTGTCAATTTTCGTGCGCAGTGAGGATGCGCAGAAACGATTAGCGCGAACGTCCTTAAGAGGGGTGTCCGCGTATGGGAGGTTAAATATGCGGTGTTCTTATGTGGCTGGGACCATTACTAAGTGTCTGCTTACGTGGGGTGTCTGTTAGCCGAGGTTTGACTGTATACCCAACTTTTAAGGTAGACGGTAAGGCAGTAAAACATGACACTCCGTTCTGTGATAGACTAATACTGTAAATAGCGTGACAAAACAGCAAAGAACAATTTAAACTTTTCTTGACCGCTGTGTGCACTACGCATGCATGAATTACATAGCCAAAAAGTTTCTGCCGTCGTTAGTTTTTTCCTCAGGTAGAAGTAAACAGATATTGTGTTTGTACCCTGTCAAGGCCAGAAAAGCGAAACAAACAGCAACTTTGTCATAAACGTTCTCCTCTAATATCCATGCTGTAACACAAGAAACAGACAGCTTGTTCCCACTCTCTAGCTCGCGCGCTCAATCCTTTTTCTTGTTGATTGAGATATCGACTTTACGTTAAAAAAAACAAAACAAAACAAAACAAAAAAAAAAACATTCCAACGACGTGCCTCTACAGAACCCGACTATTTGCAGACGAGTATAAGGTAATCACAGCACTTCACGAATCTCTTTGCTCTCGTTCCCAGACCTCTTGTGGCTCTCGTGGGCAAGGCCCAAAGCGAGGTCTCGCATTATCGTTATTATGATATAATGTATCTGTTCGAATCTCAGACTTACGTGTTGTAATGAAATGAATCACGCGCGCGATTTCACTCAGGCTATACTTACTGCAGCTTTCCACCAGTATCTCGTTGAACAAATCCGACAGCTCGTCGAAGTTGTCGGCGGTGTAAACATTATCTCCTGCGATTTCGCGCAGTTGATCCATAAACTGCCTATAATTCCCAATACCCAAGGCAATCATTCTAACGTGCTTGTCGTCCTGGAAGTCAAACAATAAGCAGGTTGTTAACTGTGTTTGCCCTATAAACTTCTGACCACATAACGTAATCAGCACTGTAATTACCCAATCAAGTCCCTAATAAGGTCATATTATTTGCAGACTTTGGGTAAAGTAACTACCTGATCGTCCCTTTTTTAGCTTACTTCGGCGGCTTATCGCGTTTGTCTCGCAAGGGGGATTTTGGCTTGATTGAATACGTCTCCCAAAACACAAGCCAATGCTTGATGAAAATCGCCTTATCTGCACCAAAGCGAACCAAACAAGCACGAATAGGCAAATGATCATTATTTTCCCCGTACGCCTAATGAAAACATTCAAGTAAGTTTCGATGAATTCGAAGGTACTTAATTTACGGAAATTTTGCTTGCGGATTGAGATTACCATACAAGAACTTTCGAAGTCTTTCGAAGAGTAGTGTTATTCATGGGTATGTTTTTCAGAGTGGGTGTTACAACTGCTCTGTGTTCTTCCCGGTTCTACGATGTTTATAAAGAAGTAGAAAGGAAAACCGCGATATAAAATAAATAGGATCAGGTTGAATAGTGCTATCAAACTGTGATTCTCAAAATTCAGCTAAATAAAATTGACGCCATGAATTATTTTACCCCTGTCATACCCTAAGAGAAGGAACTATCTCTGAGAAAGGTACAGAAGCATCATTAGTTCTTCCATCTGTCATCAGTATCAATACGTTTGGAGCCTCCAGCCTGTCCCCCCCGTTCGGTGTGAAAAGTGAATCATTGGCTTTCTTCAGGGCTTTGTCAATGAATGTCAGGCCGCCCAAGTCATTAGGTATACTTGTTATAAGGCTGTGCACGTTCTCACGACTGTAGTATTCAGTGTTTGCAAAAGTGTTTAACAATTTCGCTCTCTTGGCGAACAGAATATACCCAACATGGGTAGCGTCTGGACCAATTGGCATTGCGTCACTGAGCTGTAGGAGAAAGCCTTTGAGCATCCTAAAGTTGCTAAGACCAACACTGTTCGTTCTGTCCACCAAAAATGCCACATCAGTTGCAAAGCCTCTACAAGGGTTTGGCGCTGAGGAGAAGAATTGTTCAAACAGTGTGATTGTTTGACTCATAGATGCTGATGTGTAACCTTTTAAGAAACAGCGAGCCCACTATAGTGTCCTTGAAAAAACTCGCGAGCGGTCCGTCTTGGCGGTCCATATTTCAGAACTCAGGCCTTTAAGATCGTGGGCGTTTATTTGGATATCGAGTTTCTTTTTGATAAAGCAGCTAGGAGTCTTAAACGGGATGTTAGTATAGCGCACCTTACTTTCGCAAGTTCGGTCAGGTTTCCAGAACAACCGACTGGTGAACTCGAGCCAGCAGGAACACCGCGATCTTAGAGCCTATTCAGCTGGATCGCGCCGGATCGCGCCGCTCGCGCGTGTGACTTAATGGTGAGCCTGCTTGCAGGCTTACTGGCGGGCATCTGTTTATACTCCAGGGCCCAGTTGTTCGAAGGCTGGATAAGGCTATCCACCGGATAAATCGCTAGATAAGTGTTAACAAAACAAACCATATACTGCATCTACAAATAGTCGACAAATACATACGACAGATCAAGTTCACGACGTCATTCACTGCGTCATCAAGGCTCGGGTAGTCAGCAACATGGAAAACATTTTCTCCTCCAGTCTGATTCAATACTATCTGAGATTGCTCCCTTTTGGAATCAGGACCGATTGCAACTACGACCAAGCGAACACCTTTACTCTAAAAAAAAAAAAAACACGAAAACAAAACCAGCGATACTAAAGGCAGGAACAAAAAAATAGCTGTTAATTATTCCCTGCCAAAAATAGGGAAGAAGTCGGTCAAGCCACATTTTTTCGTCTTTTTTGATAAAATTCTATATTTTAAAGTTCTTGTGGAGCACCAAGAGCACCAACGAGAAACCTATCAGTTTGCAGCACAAGTTGAGGGATATCTACTAAATGCAAAGTAATTTTGATGCGTCTTTCTAATCAGAACGAAAGCCCAAGATGCTTCCATCCCGCCTCACTTTCAACCACAGAGTGGTATGGATTTGCTTTGATCCGACCGGGAGTTCATACATTGCAAAAGGAAGAAATAACGCTAAATGAACTAACAAGAACAAAAAAAGATTCAAAAATTCAAAATGTTACCAGAATGGCAGTTTTGATTTCTTGTCATCTTGTCAAACATAACATTTGATGCAGTGATATCGACTCACATCTTTGTCTACGGCAGGTTTTTTCCTTCAAAATACTTGCTCTATTTTTCTTGTTAGAATCTTTTTATATGTTCAGTTTTAGTTACTTTTAGTATAAATCTACTAGTGTCCTATCACAAATACCATTCGCTTATTGGCTACGCTACTCTATTCTGTTTTAGACAGTTGGTAGGCTGGCTAGCCTAGCAGTGTGCGATTGCTAGCAAAATGGCGGCTGTTTCTTTACGTTTTAATACAATTAGACTTTTCGCTGTTGATTTCTATGCACGATAGTTGACTCGGGCTGTGCCCTCGCCAACTATCACGCAACATAAATCCCGAGCTCATGATCTAATTTTTTACGTAGATAGTGAGTAGACTAGCAAATTAGGAGAGGGACAATCAAAAATTCCCCGGAAACTCTCTCTTAATCATTCATTAATTAAGGCAAAAACTTCAGCCTACGGCTGCACTTATATCCCAAAACGTCAACTTATTTCCATTTAGACATTCGATTCGTATATTTGTTTATTGGTTTAGAAAACCAGGCCGTCTGAATGATAGCTACCTTCAAATCCTTGATATAGGCGGCATATTTGTCAAAATCAGTTGATTCGTGTGTTCGGCCGTCCGTGAACACCACCAAGACATTTCGTTCTCCGGGTCTGTCCCCATTCGCCTGGGTAAACATTGTGCCATTTGCCTCCTCCAGTGCATAGTCCAGGCGGGTTGGCGATTTCAGCTTGTCAATGGACGCGTTTATGAGATCAAGAACGGCATTTACGGACCAATAGGTAGGATCGTTAAATTTGTTTTGAACTTGGGCCTTCTTGTTGAATGTTTCCAAAGACACATGCGTTTTATCCTCTGCGATATCAAAGTTTTGAACAAGAAGAGCAAGTGCTTCCTTCAAGACGGGTACGTTATTATATCCGAGACTCTTTGTTGTATCTACCACCAGACCAAGATCAGGCATACAACTGGAAACTGGACGGAAAAAGCAACACTGTTTTGAGACTAAAGCCTCCGGGTGATAAAAGATTTGTAGTTCTTACGTAGCTTCTGGTTATCCATATAATTAATGCAAAATATAAAAATATATATATTATTTTTTATCGATCGCAATTACTTTCCTAGTATTATGAAGCAAGAATTATTCGGGTTGTTCTCAAATCAACACTTCTGCCCCTGCTAATTTTCAGCTGGGACTCAACTGCTAATTTTACAATAACTGTCTAATTTCTCGCGCGCTGATTGGCTCATTTTTATCATCAATAAGAGTACCAACCGATAAAATTTTAATTTATGCAAGCTTTCAAGTTCAACTTTCAGCTGTCAAACTGTCAAATTTTTAACCAATGAGATTTTATGGACTTTTTTAAGTAGCCAATCAAAAACCGAGAAAAGCTATTGACAATTTTCGCGTCATTTTAAATAAAATTCACTTATCTTTGTTTACGGCAAGTTTACGGCGTCTTTTCCCCGCATTTATTCCAGGCACTCGACTATTTTGGGGTCTTGTTATTGTAAGAAACGAATTTACGTTAGTTTTTTATGCGTCTGTCCTCTTATTGATGGTAAATTTCGTCATAACATTGTCAAAGTTTACTGCGGAACCACTCGCCTGCAGCTCGTGGTTCCACAGCCACTTTGACAATGTTGTGACGCAATTTATCATCAATAAGAGGACAGACGCGTAAACTTGAAACTGACCTCAATTTGTTCATCTGACACAGAAAAAAAAACAGCCGTCTGTCTTCAACCGTTCGTACATTTAACTGAGAATTAATGTTTCTATTACCCGCGATTTGAGTGGGATTGATTTAAGGAATTTGTGAACAAGAAAAACAATATCAAAGTCAAATTTTGACGCTTGCCATCAGTTTTGCTTGTTGGTTTTTGTTAATCATTGCATGTTGTCTTATTTAATTAAATATTATTAGAAAGTAAGCAAGTGAATATATGAAAAATCTTTAATCTTCTTCATCATCTACGGGTATATTACGAGCTCACAACGTGACCAGCTTCTAGTTGGCTTGATAGCTCATTTGGTAGAGCACTGCACCGGTATCGCAGAGGTCAAGAGTCTGAACCTTGTATGGGTTGATTTTTTTTCAGGCGTTATTTTCACAGCTGCTTAAATTGTGAACATTATTGTGATGATCGTTGTCTTTAAAGATCTTTAAATTGGCAAGTTTGTTATAAATTTAAACCGTTTTTCAAACTCTGTTATACTTGATGATGATGCGAGCCACATCATGTTTTCGCTAAATACCGCAATTTTTTTTTTGTAAACTCGAGATTTCTGTCTTACTCTCCCAACCAAATTCCAGGTCAGCATTGATTACAATTTAACATATAAACTTCCTTGAGACAGAAAGACTATCTATTACATTTGTGTCATCGCAAACAAATCCAAAGCCACCTTGCATTTGGGAAACGATGGCAACCTTATTCATTGTCTAGGTTTGTACCTGAAAGCTGGCATGTAATCACTTTGAATTTTTCATACAATAATATTTGAAACAATAATATCCTTAATTATGTAACTGAGGAAACAACTTTATGGTGATTGGCTGAGAACAGGCCAGTTTTTCGTTCATCAGTTTTAATTTCCACTGCAGTAAAGTGTGTTCGTTATTTTCTCAGCCATAAAATAAGTGAATAGTTGTGGGTATTTGATCGAAATTGGAACGAAAGAATACAAAAGGTCCTTGGTATTTCATTCACAGCGAACGGTCGCGGGATCTTATTTAAACACCATGTACAACAAACAATGTACTGGTTCGGTCCGCGAACACTTTCTATGCACATGCATATTGCTTGCACAAACACTAATTTTACCTCTACCGCCTTGCGAAGGCCATAGTGATGATTCCAAAGATCAAGACCAAATGTATTGATTTCTCATGATCAACTTCTCTTTGATGACAATAAAACATGTCCATTAATTGTTAAATTACCTTCCCTAGGAAGGTAATTTAACAATGGACATGTTTTATTGTGTTTTATTGTGTTTAGGGTGTTTAGGATGTTTACTATGACTTCAAAAAACAAGAACGAAAAATAAAAATAAATAAATAAATAAATAAATAAATAAATAAAAAATGACCGAGGCAAGTGCATCGATTTGCTTGTTACCAGCTATGGCCCTGATTTTGCATGTAATATGCCAGACATTGATCAGGTTTAACAACTTACAAAGTTGTTGACAAGAACTAAACAGAATTAGTTCAAGCATTCTATTGCATTAAGTACTTCTTCGAAATAATCCCTCTGGTAGTCCCAGTTCGTTTCAAAGCTAACGTAGATGTCTCGTCACCAGTGGCCAGTGTCTGTGGCTAATCGCGGCTAAGTTTCTCGCGCTCGCAAAGAGTTGGACGATACAGTTTGTTTCGTGGTTCGCTAGCGATTGAATAGATACATGACAGTTTCTCTGTCAATCACCATCTCTGGTATTTTATCTAATTAAAGAAAAAAGTTATTAAATTATTCTTACCCGCGGCCGTCGGCGACAGTATGCCCAGAACACAGGCTAAGATGCACAGAATGTTCATCTTGTTTTCTTTGCAAACCTAAGATGAAAAAGAAGGAAAATAACACTACTGTATATCTAAGATAATCACTGGCATAGGCCCGTGGAGCGAAATATGAGGCGTATGAGAGTAATATATTAGTGCACTTTGAATTTTGATGATGTTTTATATGTATTACATACACTGAAACAAATAATGAATATATTGCTTAACTCTGTCATAGTAGTCATCGCTTGCAAATCATTACTCTGTAGGCACAAAAGCGTGGTGTTCAACATATATTAATCCTTGGCTTAGGTTTATTTGCAGCGCTCATTGTTAAATTAAAATGATGTATAGGCACTGTGAACATTTATATTCTTTAAATCAGTCTGAAACGATTATCGTGACACTCCCTTTTCTTGTTAATTCTCTGAAATCAGTCAGACATGATCTAACAGCAGCAAAAGTCTTGATATGTGTTTGAAACATGTTGGGTTGAAGTTTTCCAAATTTAGTCTTGATTGATTACTGAAGTGACTGACAAGGCCAAAGAGCAAAATCGCTCCAGGAGCGATGTCAAATTAAGAGGATAGAAAAAAAAAAAAAAAAAACATTACAAGCGAAAGGAAAATAACGCTTACGTAAGCATTAGACCTTGAACTAGAATTTAAAACGTGTTGATAAATTGCTCCTTTTTGTTTTAATCAAAAGAAACATACATGTNAAAAAAAAAAAAAAAAAAAAAAAAAAAAAGATACAGTGGACGTACCAAATTATGCTTCCTGGAAATTGCGGACTTACTTTACAAGAGAAACCATTTGGAACTACTTCACGAACGAAATGGACAGTAATAAATTATTAAGTTCAACACACATCCATGTTAACTCACAAAGCACAGCACTGTAAACTTTAATAAGCTTTATGTCAGTCCAAAACTCCCTCTTCTTCTAACCTTTTGTGATATGAAGTTTAACATTATTGAACGACAATAATGTCACCGAATTAACAAGAGAAATTCCCTTCCAGTTTGAAAAAAAAAAAAAAAACGAAACGTTACCGTTGACAAGCATAATAATTTGACGACTTTTTTTTTTGATATATTTTGTTTTAGATATAGCTGGATACCGAATAAACCGAAAAGACGAAATAATAAAATAATTAGAGGATCGAAGCGATCTTAAATTCAGAGAATGGAGGAAAGCATATTCGACTTGCCAGATTGTTTTCTAGGGGTTGCTAGCATACTTACAAGAGAAAACGGTTTGAAATATTTTCACGAACGAAAATGGATACACAATACGTTATGACCGTCTATCACAATGTTCTTGGAAGACTCTTACTTTCCAAAATTCAAGAAAGATTTCTGTCTGTCGACCTGCCGAGGCTTTGCTTCTCTCGCTCGACGAAGGGGTGCTCAATAAATCGTTAAGTGATTTGTTCAGTGTGCTCATAAAACCTTGTTTGATCGAGTGACGTATTAAAGAACAGGAACCATAAAAGGTACACGTAAGCTGTCTTAATTAATTTGACTTTGTTTGGTAAGCAAAACCAAAGATAATATACATAGAAACAACACTGATTCCTTGGTATGTAAACTGAACCCGTACATCATTTGTGCAAAATGTAAAATAAATTCTCCTATAAAAGTTTTATACTAAACAGGAAATATGATCATGCCTAATTGTATTTTCAGGAATAAGTTCTTGGTTCTCTGTTTAAAGTTGATTGCCAAATACGGCAAATAGAGGCAAATTAGGCTTTTACGTTTCGCGTACAATTATAATGCCGCCCTCTTCTCGAAAGAAAAAAAGAAGAAGAAGAAGAAGAACTACCAAAAATTGCGTAGTTGAGAAGTCTTATGCTTATACCGAATTTTTTCGATTTTTCTACTAAGTGACTTTGCGCAGTTTGCAGATGTCTTCCTGGGATATTAATCCTACCTGAAGAAATAGTTTAATACATTGTTAGCAGATTGTTACTCAATAGTCCCACAAGCGTGGAGTTGAACACGATTCCTTGTCTGGGGTTTATTTGCAGCGGCTATTGTGTTAACTTATAGCAGTAAAGAACACTGAACTTGTATAGGCTTAATATCTTTTAAAAACGGGCGTGGTGAACTCCCTTTCTGATATGAGATGGACATTATCTGACAGCAACAGAAGTTTCAAAAAAAAGGTCTGAATGTTGGGTTGTGACTCGTTCATTATTGTCACCAAACTAACAAGAGAAATTCCTATCACTCGGGAGCAATCTTAATTTAGGAGAATGATAAAAAGTTATACTCGACGTGGCGATCTGTGACTTTACCCAAGAGGTTGTTGAGTTACTTACAAGAGAAGGCGTCTGAAAGAGTTTCACGAACGAAAATGGATACATAATACATTATGATCGAAACACTTTCTCTACCATCACAATATATTTTCTTAGTACAGTTTTTACCTTCCAAAATTTAGAGTGATTTCAGACTTCTAATGCTTCACTTCTCTTCTCCGATGGCTAGGCAGTAAAATGAATCTAACGTGTGATGGTTGGTAATTTATCAAGTGATCCGATCTGCTGCTCATAAAATTGAACATGTTTGATTGGCTTATTACAAAACAGAAACCATAAAAGATAGGCTGTCCTCATTAATTTAAATTGGTTTGGTACTAAAAACAAAGATAATGAAAATTCAAACAATGTTGACGTCTTGAGTTGTAAAAACCGGCACAAAATTCTCCTAAAAGGTATTACAGGAGATATGATCACTTCTAATTGTATTTTCAGCAATAAGGTAATGGTATTTCATTGAAAAATACATCAAAAAGTGACTAATGACGCTTTTACCTGTTTCCTGCCATTAAAACGGTCTTTAAGAAATTAGGTCATAATCGGCCTCAGAATTGTGTTATGTGTTTGTAATCCGTTTGTGCACCAAAGTGATAAAAGAAACACCTTAAGAAAACGGTGTCTTGAACGCAATGAAAAAAAAAAAAAAGAAAAAGAAAAAGAAAGGCAGTTATCTGTGTTTGAAGACACTTATGATAAGCAGCTATATCGAGAGTCCCTTTCGTTTCCCCTCAACCCGGCCAAGAAAATAGAATTTCAGATCAGATGCGTAAGATTATGAATTAGGCATCAGCCTGGTTCGACGTTTCTCTTTGTTAAAAAAATTGAAGTGAACTAGCGTGATGCCGCTATCCTTGAATACTCGTTCCACGCCTAGACATTTTTTCATTGTCGATTTACTTGATTTGATAACTATGGAAATGTTATTTCTCCTCCAAGGACTCGTTTTAAGAAGTCGTGATCCATGGAAAACCTTGTCATGTTATACAAATGGACATGACAAGATGTTTTGTAACTTTGAATTTAGTTAGTTAATAGCTAGGAATGGTTATGAAGGCCGGAAAACATCAAAGGATCAAACAAAGATGACAAGATTTATGTTGGAAAGTCTACGGTCGTGCACGATCTTTTGTTTTGCGCTCAGACACTGTGCATGATTATTAAACAACAATCGTGTTTTGTGCGCGGTCAAGGCCAAAAACGTGAACAAAAACAATCGACAAAGAACTTTGTCGGCTTTCATAACCATTCCCCTTTAGCAACTACTGCATGCTTTGAATTAATGTTCTTGGCAACAGAAGTGTTTCCAGCCAACACGTCTCTGTCTGTGGTACTTAAGTAATAATATCCTTACGTCCGCTGTAATTATACAGGGCTTCTAAAATTGTTATCACCTTAAATGATGTTTGCTTCTTGCGCAAAACCATTTGTTTAAACGATGATCAAAAGTCTAATCTATAAAGTAGCCGCGGATATGGTGATTTAACCATTATATAAAGTTTACTTTCCGTAGTATGCGTCAGAAAAGCCTAGAAATTAATACTTAAAAACCAGTGCATTGAATGACTCTATCAAAAATCCTATCTTAACTTCACCGTACCTGAGTAGAAAATGGTAAAAGCTACAATCTTTTGCGTACATCTCGTAACTGTGCACCTCTTTTCGGTGAAGTTGTTTGACCAATAAATAAAATAGAGACAACAAACGCAGTTAAAACGCAAAAACACCCAAACCACCAGCAATTGTGTACGTGGGAAGTCTCACTGAATTATTTCATTTTTTCTTCTCAAGTGTTTACCAAGCGACTGTGCACAGTTGCCGAGATGTCGAATTTACCCGAGAAAAATGATTTTATAAATCGCCGGCAAATCGTTACTCCAGAGGAACAGAACCTTAGATTTGAACATAAATGATTGTCTTGGGTGTATTCGCTGCCATTGTTGACTTATGATAATGTACCAAAGCCGTTAACTATGGCGAGAGCGTTCGTTTTCCACCAATATGGCTTAAGTTGGATTCTTGCCTAATGTCATATGTGGGTTAATTTTGTTGTTCGCTCTCGCCTTGTTTCGAGGGTTTTTCTCTGAGTACAATGGAACCCCGTTAAATACGACCACTTCGTTATTACGGCCACATTATTCTGGCCCAAACAAAAGCTCCTCAGTAATTTTCTTATTCAAAGAACCTCTTTTGGCCACCCCTTTAATACGGCCATATTTCTGTAGCCCGTTGGTTACCAGATTAACGGGGTTCCACTGTACATGTACTCCGGTTATCCTTCCTTCCGAATGACCAATACTTCCAAAATCTAATTGGACCAGGATAGAGGACCTGTCCAAAAACGAGCTCAGGCTGATGTGCCTTCCTCCCTAAATATTGTAATTTATTTATTTCAATATTGTAATTTAAAACGACCGAAGTGTCACTCCCCTTTTTTTTACTCTACGTGTACGAGTCAGACATTATCGTAAAGCAGTCTGTCTATTTATTTTGACTTTATGTGGTAGCAAAAAACAAAAGGAATAAACATAGAAGACAGTGTATGTTTTAGGATGTAAAAACTAGCGCAGTGGAGCCCCGCCTTACGACCACCTCGTTAATAGAGCCACCTCGATATTACTGCCACTTTATTCTGGCCCAAAGAAAAGCTCAGTCAGTCATTTTCTTATTCAAAGAACCCCTTTAATATGGCCACTCCATTAATATGGCCACCTCGTTAATATGGCCATATTTTTGCTGCCCGTCGGTGAGTTTCCAAGTTAAAAACAATTTGGGCGTAATGTAATGTAAGTAATTCTCCTTCAAAGGTTTTAAACATGAAACATAATTATAATTTACTGTATTTGCCGGGACAAGGTTCTTGGTATTTTGAAAGTACAGTGGAAGCTCTCTTAACAGACACTCTCGTAAGCGGACAGTTCTACCTACCATTGCTGTCACAAAAACCCCGTCTGAGCTCCCGTACAAACTCTGTGTTTACGGCCACGGACACTTTGAGGGGCTTACGGTTTAGACTTTCATTGGCTAGTTGTTGTTAAGTACCCGTAAGCGGACACCCGAAAGGAATTGCGCCTGATGATGAAAGATACTCGTAAACATTTGTAAACTGTTTTGTTCTTTTTAAATCACTACGGGCTAGTCCTCGTGCTGCAGTATACGGTGCTGATTATAGTTAACGCAATTATCGTAGCATAGCATAAGGCAAAGGAATCATTTAATACGGTGGTAGTTTTTGCATTCTCAATGTTTATTGTTAGCTAGGCAAGCTTCCGTAAGCGGCCACCTACCCCTTATCTTGTTACCGCTTACGAGAACCATTCTCGTAAGCGGCCAGCTTCAGTTACGGACACCTTTCTCGCGTCCAGAGGGTGTCCGCTTATAAGAGCGTCCACTGGAGTGCAGTAAAAGCTAGAAGCTTTTGAGTTCGTCGGGCAAATGAGGGCTTGAAGTTGATTGACATACAAGTGCAGAAAATAGAGTCAAATTAAGCTTTTATCTTTTTCCTGCAATTAAAATGGTCTTTTGAGAGATTAGGCCATAATCGGCCTCAGAATTGTGTTACACGCTTGTAATCCGTTTGTGCACCATAGTGATAAAAGAAACACCTTGAGAAAATGGTGTCTTGCACAAAATGAAGAAAACAAAAATGGCAGTTATCTGTGTATGAAGAAACTAATGATTATCAGTTGTATCGAGAGTCCATTCCAGTCGCCCTCCCAAACCAGAAATAAGTAGATTTTTAGAGTTAAGATGTTAATGCGTGAGAAAATGACTTGGGCATCAGCCTGGTCTCATAAGCACTTTCTTTTTGCTAAACAAATCGAAATGATCTCGCTTTAATACGCGTTCCACGCCTAGACATTTTCCCATTGTTGATTTACTTGATATGATGACTATGGAAACGTTATTTGCTCTTCAAGAACTCGTTCTTAGAAGCCGTGATCCATACAAAACTTCGTCATTTTATTAAAGTGGAAATTACAGGATGTTTTGTACCTTTGAATGAATGTTCTTGGAAACTGAAGTGTTTCAAGGCAACACATCAAAATGCAAAATATCCTCATATCCGCTGCAGTTGAAGGCCTCAGAAAATTGTTATAAACTTAAATGAGAACATGTTGCTTTTTACCAAAAAACCCCTAGTTTTCCGCCCTCCTGAAAAACAAACACTTCTAAGACTCATTTGATCAGGATAGAGGACCCGCATGGAAATCCGGTAAGGCTGATGTGACCGACTCTCTAAATATTGTAATTTAAATATTGTAATTTAAATATTGTAATTTATTTATTTGCCGGAATATTGCATTTAAAACGACCAAAATGTCACTCTTTCCTCTTAACTTCTCGTATATGAGTCAAACATTACCTACACTAGCAAAAGTTTCAAAAGGAATCTGACTGTGGGAAGAATTTCCGGTTCAATGTTATGATGAACCGATAAAAAAATAATCTGAAATGACTGCTGAGAGCTAGAAAATCATAGAAGCGTCTACAATACTCGTTTGCGGTTTCTAACTAATTTTTTGCAAGGCTAAAAAGATTTGTTAAAAAGGGTAAAGAATTAAAATCCAAAACGTTTTCGACGTTATGTTATCTTCAAAGCGACAAAACATTGAAAACGTGCGATTTTTTTTTACTATTTTACTCTTTTAAACCATATCCTTTTAGCCTTTCAAAAATTAGTTGTAAACATGGAGACAATATTGATGCGCTGATATGTAAACTGTACCACAACACAATCACTTTGTGCGACTGTGTAAAACAAATTTTCGTACAAAGGTTTTTAACAGGAAATCATTGTTGATCGCGCCTAATTGTATTTTCAGTAAAAATTACTTACTATTTTGAGAGTAGTAAACAGCTAGAAGCTTTTGAGTGCGTCCGGTGCATTAAATATCATGTTGTGTCAAGATGACAAGAAATCAAAACTGCCATTCCGGTAACATTTTGAACCTTTGAATAATTTCTTTGTCTTGTTAGTTCATGGCTATTTGCTTTTACAAGTTTGGCGTAATTTCTTCCTATCACAATATATTAACTCAGTCGTAGAAGCAAAACCATACCACCACCGTAACAGAAGTGAGGCGGGATGCGTTTTTTCCTTTTTTTTTTTTTTATAGAGTAAAGGTGTTCGTTTCGTCGTTGTTGCAATCTGTCCAGGAATCTCAGAAAGTATTGAATCAGATTGC